CTGGTTTAAGAGGTTGTAAAATTATAAAGCGAATGAGCGAGGGGAAATGTGAATGAACCTGAATGAAGGAAAATTAGGCTACATGAAAACATTCACATGAAATATCGTCGTCTCAAGATATTTTAGCACAGTGTTTATTTTTTCTTTTCATTTTTGACGTTTGGCTTCCATCTAGTGGCAAACAGCAAAACGCCATGTTCGAATTTCCTGATATCAAAATAATGTTTGATAATGATGTCAAACTTGTCACCTCAGGTTAATGCACTTATCCAATGAGCTTGGACCTGTGCAGGAAAACTTTAATCGTTCCGGTTTCTACAAATGTTCGTATAAAACGCATGCAAGCTCGACTCTCATAAATAAATGTCAAAACTCCTCGATGAACCTCAACAACGAAAAAACATTTGTTCACCAGATCAGCATTATGGGTCGTAATTTTTATTGCATCAACAAAATGTCATGGACTTTATAGAATAAAAACAACTTCTTAACATTTTTAAAAGGTAGCCTAAACCTTAGGCTTGTGTGAAGAGGAACCATGTGAGGGGGGTGAGACAGAACAGACCAAAACACAAATCATTTCCTTTAACTCCGGCCTTATAGTTAATTATTCATCTATCATCAACAGGTCAATGTGGGGGGGGGTTACATCATGCCTACTTTTATCCTGGCCATATTTACAGTATAGCGTTAATGGCTCAGAGTGCATTTTAACAATTAGGCTACTCAGTTTGGCCAAGGGGTGTCACTATTGGAGTACTTTACACTATAACCACAACCCAATAACTCCGCAAACAGGCCAGAGAGACAAACATAGGCCTATGTCTACTGGATGACAGAATCCACCCAGGACACCCTCGCTTTTTTGCACAAACCTCATGCTTTCTAAGACAGGTCTTTTAGAACAGCGTTATTCATAGTGAGTGGAACTTTTACACAATACTTTTAACTTAAAACCTGGTGTATTCAGTGATAGCCCATTAAAGAATAATTTTTTTTTCAGTTCTCTTCATGACCTAATATTCATTCATCAGAAATTAAAAGTAAGTGTGGAAACATGTTGTTCCAAACCTGTATGAGTTTCTTTCTTCTAGGTACAAAAGAAGATATTTAAAAATGTTGATAACCAGACAGTTGACGGCACCCATTGACTTCCATAGTATTTTTTCCCCTATATGGAAGTCAATGGGTGCCGTCGTTAACTGTATGGTTACCAACATTCTTTAAAATATCTCTTCTGTTGGGTTCAACAGAAGGAAGAAACTTATACAGGTTTGGAACTTGAGGTCTGAGTAAGTAGGCTAATGACAAACTTTGTGTGAACTGTCCCAGTTTAACTGAATGAGACTTCACGTGCGTAACGTAACAAATTCCCAAAACCCGAAAGAAGAAATTCACATTCTTTTCAATGTAAAGGGGAAGCCATTCTTGGAACGCCACATAAAAGCACAGTTCATTTCCAACCTCTCCCCGCCCTCAACGCACCCTCCTCCCCATTTATCCAATCTCACAGTGGGTGTTGTCGGTGTGTGAGCCAATAATGGCCAAGCGCTTGCCCTTTGAAACACGACCATGATAAATGATTGTATGTCAGTCTTGTGTGAAGAGGAACCATGTGAGGGGGGTGAGACAGAACAGACCAAAACACAAATCATTTCCTTTAACTCCGGCCTTATAGTTAATTATTCATCTATCATCAACATGCTGATTAAATCCCATATTACTCTTAAACAGTTCCCTAATACCTTTGCCGTTACTATAATCTGTATCATAATAGGCTATTAAAGTTTATTAAAAAGTCAAGTAAAATGAACATCTTAATCAAAGGTTAAGATTAATGCAACATCAAAATATATACGATTTTTTTGTGTTATTGTTGCCGCTTTTGTTACGGTAGCCTATTATTTATTTACAGGTGATTTTTTTATATTATTTATAAATATATTTTCATTTGATGTGTTATAGAAACAATAAAACATAATATATATATATATATATATATATATGCACTAAATATAAAAAATTGCGTTCTTTTAAATCCTTTAGGCAATAATAATTATAATTCCATCGTGTTTTTGTATTAATTTGGTAAATAAGCAACAGCTGTTATCTATATGGCATCACTGTCACTGAGCACAACATTATTATATCACTGCATTGGCTTTTAGTTCTTCCTACCATATCTTTATAACTCTTCACCACTCCACAGATACTAGCTGTGAATGAGAGTAGGCCTACTGAAAATTGCCTAACATGTCTTTCTCTCTCTGTTATCTTCTCTTATCCTGTTTGACTCTGATGAGAGACTTCAACTATCCCTTGACAATATCTACTCATCATTGTGGCAATGGTTGTAGCATAAAACATGATACACTGACACTTCGGTCAATACGAATGTAGAGTTCTAATGTAGAGTTTTGTCTGACTGTACCAAAACAATTTGGTTGATTTTAAGCCAGCGAAGAACAAAACAGATGCATTGAGAAACAATCAAACTGTCATGGGAAGACATACAAATGAACAGGTGTTTTTTTGTTTTGTTTTGTTTTTTGCTGGATGATGGGATTGATTTTTCACATACTGGCTATAAACACTATCCAAGAGACTTGCAGTCTGCGCTTTTCTTGGATGACAAATACTCCTTCTAAAGCTTTGCTTATTTTCTTAACCAGACTTGGGGCCATAAGGTTCCATGGATGACAAATACTCAGCAAATACTCCTTCTAAAGCTTATAGTTAATATTTGCTTATTTTCTTAACCAGACTTGGGGCCAATTTGTACCAGGTTCCATGGGGATCAATCGTAATCTTATCTTCTGTGCAGAGTCCATTGGGGTAATGTGAGCTCAGTGTAAAGGTTAGACTGTTGTGAATTCAATATCAGCAAAACGCTTCCCCCATATTGTCCATACTGTACGGCTAAAGACGATCTGAGTGCATGATATAATTTAGTTTCTTTAGATAAGATGAATGAATAGGGAAAACCAGAAATCAATCAGCTGTTGGTTGGTTAGAAAAACCTACAGCAGTTTTGGTTTTTAACTGGTTTCCTGTCAAAAGTGGTCTTACTTCAGCTGGTAAATATGGGCTTGGAGGAGAGGCCTGAATTTAAAGGGATAGTTCACCCAAAAATCAAAATGTTGTCATTATTTAGGGTATAGAGGGTATGCGCATGACGTCACCGTCGGCCGGAGTGAATGCGGTCACGGCCACAAGTGGCAAAAAGACTGAGCGGCAGCATTTGTTTTCAGCGTGAATGCCGTGAAAAACACACAAAACACATCTAAAACGGCAAAGAGCTTTGCGATTGACTGTACAACTAGATCTGACCAGAAATCTGATACTGTATATTTTTACAGACAGCAAAAAGCTACAGAACAGACTATATTCTGCATAATTTGATGTTTTTAAATAAACACTGACAAAAAACTATACAAGTTTTAGGGCTGGACGATATGATGATATACAGTATAACATTAATGTAAGTGATCACTCGGATTTAGACCTATCTATATTGTATTTATATAAAACGTTTACAGGCAAATTTTCTTAATTTATTTCCCCGGCGTCGAAATCAGGCACATATGTCAGGAAACACGATTCCTGGCTGCATGTCAATATCCATGGATCACTGGATCTTTGATAAGTTGTAAGGAACACTATATCGAGTCCAACTTTTAGTTTAAACTCTTTGTTTTACTCGAGTTTTCGCAGTTTCCACTATTAACTCCAGTCACGCAGCAGCTCTTTTGCCACTCAGTCCGGCTGAGGGGGGCGTGTTCCGGCGGGAAAGTGACGTTAATGCATTCCCTCTATAACTTATGTCATAAGTTGTTCCAAACCTGCATGAGTTTCTTTCTTCTGTTGAATACAAAAGAAGATATTTTAAAGAATGTTGGTAATCAAACAGTTGACGGCAGCCATTGACTTCCATAGTAAGAAAAAAAATACTATGAAAGTCAATGGCTGCCGTCAACTGGTTACTAACATTCTTCAAAATATCTTCTTTTGTGTTCAACAGAAGAAAGAAACTCATACAGGTTTGGAACAATGTGAGGGTGAGTAAATGATGACAGAATTTTCTTTTTGAGTGCACTATCCCTTTAAAGCAAGCCTATCAGATGATCAACAGGACAGAAAGTAAAGGCCTACTTGGTTTATTAGAGTGTGTCATAAAAAATCTTTCCGATAAAGATTTAATAAACTTTATTGACCATATTAATCTTCAGTTGTTTGATTTTGAAAATCACAGCAGGAACTCATTAATTTAGCAATGACCTTGAGACTGGTGGACAGATGACAGGTTCCAGGGAGAAACTGGAAGGACTTTGATTTGCTTTGTGACTTTGCTACTGCATAAAACTGATTTGTTTTTAAACAAATAACATAATAATGTGTGCAAGTTTTATAAATTTGTGTGTATGACAAAACAATGTGTGCTATAATTGGTGAGTCTGTTTTTAACCAATACTATGGACTTTTGTAAGTGATTTAAATTTAATAATAATAATAATATCCAGCAAAAAAAAAAAAGAAAGAAAAAAAAACACATTTCAATGGATTAAGCGTTTCTTGCGAAACATATCAACAGATCACCAATAGTATTGTTGATTTTATCTGAATATTTTTATTTTATTTTGACCGTTTTACCACAGGACCATAACATTTGACATGCACATTTATTTATTTTTAATTTCTGAATCCATTAAGGTTAAAAAAACCATTAAACTCGTTGCCATTGTAAATTTGCAATTCATATGAAAATTATTAATGTGTATCTAAATAAAAAAGTCATTTTGAAAACATTAAGTTTTTTTTAATGTTATAAACTAGGTTAAATAATAGCAATAATTGCTATAGATCAAATTAAAATATAGCTGAAATAATAAGAGTTTTAAAAGTAGCGCGTGCGTTTCCTCCTCCTCCGTGACACGCAGTGACCTTCCGTCTGCTCGCGCGACTCCTCTAAACACGCTGCTGCCTTTTAAAGCGCGAGACGGCATGAGCGCTGTCACTTTCACACTGAACGAGGCAGGCTCAGGAGCTTCCGTCGTCTCGTTCATTTACCCCCATTTTCGTTTCCCTTTTTCACCTCGTCGATAACCCATCATCCTTTAATTTCATCTTTCTCCATTGTACCGTAACTTTCAAAGTCCCTTTTCGCCATGTACCGGTATTTTGGGGAGCTGCTGACTCGCGGAGCGGGAAACGCTCTGGCCTCGGGATGCGTCGAGTCCGCTCTGCCGGCTTCCTCGTCTTTGCTGAGGGTGCGTCACTACAGCGATGCCGCTGACAAGGAAGATGACCCGAACTTCTTCAGGATGGTGGAGGGCTTCTTCGATCGCGGCGCTGCTATCGTCGAAAACAAACTGGTGGAGGACCTGAAGACCCGGGAGACGCCGGAGCAGAAGAGACACCGTGTGCGGGGGATCCTCAAGATCATCAAGCCCTGCAACCACGTCTTGAGCGTGTCCTTCCCCATCAAGAGAGACAACGGAGAATGGGAGGTTATCGAGGGTTACCGGGCACAACACAGCCAGCACAGAACTCCCTGCAAGGGAGGTAAGAGATATCTGTTTTATATCGTGCAGTAATAAAAACAGATCGGTTTGCTTGTCATGTGTTTTGCGCAATAAGGTTTCACAGCAGTTTGCAGTTGCAAGTACAAGTACATTCATGCTGACAGTGGTTGACGTAACGCAAACCTATTCTATTTTTCTTTCTTTCTTTTTAAAAATGTTTGCACGGTTTGAAATATTTGGCTAGATTTGACTGGTGGTCCCCCTGTCAGTAATAAATCACCTTGACACTCCTTGCTCCTGCACAGGTGTATGTATTACCTGGGGGCTGAAGCCAGACACAGTGTAGGCCTATAGGCAGGAACTTAGGATTTTTAAATAACGGAAATTTTAAATAACAGAGCGGATGAAATGAAAATAACTTTTAGTTTACAAACATAACATAAAGTGCTTCAATACAGTGCATGACCTAAAATCCAAAACAGAAGATTGCGTAGGCCTATATATAATATATATATATATATATGTAATGTGTGTGTGTGTGTATATATATATATATATATATATATATATATATATATATATATATATATATATATATATATATATATATATATATATAATGTATATATAAGTTTTATATAAATATAAATTATTATTAAACAAATGATTTTTTTTATTTCTTTCACTTCATAAAGTTTCACAGAAGACCTCTATGGCTGAATCACAGCCGATATAGTTCAACAGCCCTCTTGCTTGTGTTTTTCTTAATAATGATAATTCGTTAATGTGCAGGTTTATTATTACTATTAAACCAAATATTATATTTTACTTTACAGCAATAATAGATTTTTGTCTTTATTTTTTAAATTTCACATGGTTAAGTTGAGATTGTGTTGCTGATAGAAAAATTAGTGAAGACCTTTGTTTGTGTATTAGTCAATCACTCAGATCATTCACATTTCAGATGAAATAGCATGGGTTAATCATATGGCCCTAGCAAGACTATCGGGCTTTAGTGTTCCTTGTTTTGTTACTTTTTTTGTTTAGATATCTGCGGTTTCTGTTTGCCCTCAGAATATGCTGCCCGCTTGACATGTTTATACTGTAGGTTATTAATGTGAACAGCCCAGTTTCTGCTGTTTATACTAACTTGCAACTGATTTTACCCTCTTGCCAAACAAAGGAAACAAGTTGCTTCAAGTCAACTGTGTTTTCATGACACTAAGGATCATTCATGTCATTCAGTTAGGTTCATTCATGTTAGGTTAATAAACATTTACCTTGGTTGTATGCAATCTATATTCTGCCAAAACAAAAGCATAAGATGGGATCCGTACCCGTTAATTTCTGTGATTTACAGACATGCATACTCTAATAGAAGGGGTTTACGCCCATAGCGAGGCACATTGTAAATCACGTTGAGGCTCACAGAATCACATTCATTCTTAACAGCAGATGTTGAGGAGCAGTGGTCAATCAAGAGTGGGAGGGGGAGATGTCATCATGGCACTGCATTGTGGGTGATCTGTGAGGTGACATATCGTGAGAGAGGGTTGTTATGGGGGTAGGGCTCAGGCGCTCTGACCCGTCATCTGCATGATAGGACTACTTTGCTCACATTTACAGAGTAAATGTATAGTATAGTAGAGTAGTGTTTGCTTGGAGACATCTTAACTCACCAGTGTGTATTTGTTCTCATGTTAATGCATATAAGTTAAGGGATATTAATGTGACGGCAGTCATGCAACATTATAAAATTATGAAAGAGTATAGTTTGACTAGAAATCTTCTGCAGTGTGTGGAAAGCGTTGTTCTCTCTTTTCACTTGTTTATCTGTGTCTTGTAGTGAGTCCACAATAATCCTTAATCTTGAAGGCCACAGCTTCCCAATCTGAAAGATACTGATTTCCTTTTTAATAATAGTACTTAAAGTTGGCATGAAATTAAATTCATCCATTCTATTTTCTAAATGCATGTTGTAGATCTAATTGTGAAAAAATAAGCGGTCCATTTAGTTTAGTTTTTTTAATTGACCTTGTAATATTTAATAAAAAGTGTCATAACTAGTGCTGTCAAATTCTTTTATCGCATCTAACATAAAAGGTTTTGTTTATATGATATATATATATATATATATATATATATAAATATATATACATGCATTATATTAAAAAAAAAACGTTTATGTTCGATGTGATTAATCGCGATGAATCGATTTGACAGCACTAGTCATAACTGGACCTTCCAGTGAAAATTACAGACTTTTCTCTGGTAACACATGCAGGACTTCTCGAATAATTTTTTGCCGATTAAAGTTGCACATTTTTGAGTGCACATCCTCCATTTTTGAGTGCATACATCCCAAAATCCAAACAACAAACAATGCATATAAAACCATATATGTATATCTCATTCCATCGTGATTTTAATGAACACCATCACTGTGATTCTGATAAGACCAGTGCTAATAATCATCTCTGCACAACAACCTTTTTTGATGGATCATTATCTCTTCACAAACCAATGCCGTCTAACAAATGTATTACATTTTTTAATGTCATGCATAAAATATTCCTACATATTACATATGTTGCATTTAGTGAAAGTTTCCCCATTTAAAGCTTGGCATACACAAAGTGGAGCACCTTGGATGAATCTGAACCAGCCAATCAGAAACACTCGCTGCTTGTCAATCATTTTGTATTTTCCGGTGGTTTGTAGTTAAAATGTGCAAATGTTCGTAAGTTATCAAAATGTTTGACATCAGTTGCAGCACTTTTAATCATTCATGTGATTCAGACTCTTGATCTTGTTGGCTCAAATCACTGACAAAAGTGCTGCGATTGACATTATCTGTATGTAATAGACAAGATTAGGTACACATTACAAAGTACAAGAGCAATTCAGCCAGAACACACAGTCAGCTAATGGCTCTGTGCATTTCAACATTAGTTTCATCAGCCAAAGTCGTGCACGTGAATGTCAGAATCACTAGATCAGCAGAAACGTTTTGGTCGCATATCCTTTATATGCAGTGTAATGGGGAAAAAAAGGATGCCGTGAGTCACACTTGTGCAGAAAGTGCACATCCTGGTTATGATAAAGCACATTTGGCTTGATAAGTGGAGTTGAAGGAGATGCTGGAAAGGTTTGCTGTGTTTGTTTTTTCTCATCCGTTGGATGCAGTAGGTGATCAGTGCTGAGTCATTCCTCCATTGAAGAGCCCCTGCCAGCTCTCTCACACCATTTCCCCTCCCCTCTGTGTGTAGCTGGAAAAAAACACATCTGTTCAGCAGGTGAGCTTTTAGATGCAGACAAAACGACGCCTAGAGCGGCTGATTTTCTTTTAGATTTTTTTTCAGCAATAAAACATCATGTTCAGTGGTTTAGTTCCATATCTAATAGCCTGTATGTTGGCAGGTTTCTCACTAGTATGAAATTAAATACGATTAAACATTAGAGCACATAATTTGGCTCGTTTGGGCCAGGCATCCTCATCTGCATTTACAGAAACATTGTGACCAAATCAGTCATTAAATACCATTCAATTATTCCCAGTCTCGTTTTTTTACTGCTTTTGCCGAATGTCAGTGTCATTTATGTTAATCGTAAAAGGAATTGATACGTTTGCCGCAGGGTATGTGGCAGTGTGTGCAAGAGACACACACTCTTTCACACAATCCATCAAGATTCATGATGTAGTACAGCCTCCACACACACACACACACACACACACACACACACACACACACACACACACACACACACACACACACACACACACACACACACACACACACACACACACGACTCTCCCCCAGGACACATGACATTCAGATACCCTTTACTTCTCCAGGTCAGACAGAACATCATGTACTTCCATGTGTTATGTTCCATGTTTCCTTTTATCTGGTGTATATTTAGATAGTTTGTACTGTCCTTCTGTACAACCTGGAAATGTTAATTCTAAAATTATTATTTCATTGTATTATTTTTGTAGTGAATATTCATGCAATCCTTATCCCGCAATCATGAATGAATGGAAATGTAATGGTCTAATGGAATCCTAGTGTTGTTGTTTTTTTTTATATATATATATTTTGTTCATTTTTATAGTGTATTTTTAATCTTGCATAATGTGCATTATTAAAGTGTGGTCACTAGCTAAATTTCAGTGAAATTTTGCAAGCAAAAACGGGTCCATTGTCATGTCACTTTCAAACCAAGCAGCTTTCTGCATGTCAGCGCGGTGAATTCACGTGAACAACTTGAAAATGAGTGTAATGTGCGCTAGGAACTTTTTTTGCCCTCATGTTAAACTCCTGATTGCACGCATTCATATAGGAATGACTGGATTTCCGTGCAACACTAAATGTGATCGCGCATTTAAATGTGTCCTTACAAGTGATAATGAAAATCTACTTGCAAACCTGATAGATTCATTGCTGTTCAACTATAACAAATTTATATATTCATTGTTACGAGATATGACACATGGTTTGTCATTTAAAATAGCATATGAATGTGTAGCAGTATGCTTTATTAAAGACAGTCTCTGTGTCCTCTGAGGTCACGCATGTGCTGTTGCTAGATTTAGGAAACCAACATAAGGCACCAGAGTCTCTAGAAGGAAGTGATGGTAGCACCTGTCCTAATGGAGCGTGACCAGAGCACAGACGTTGAGCTGGAGTTTTAGCTGCATAGCTGGAAAAGGTGACCTGTGTCCTTAAACATGAACTGGTGAATCCACGTAAAAGTCTCAAAACGGTCTAAGCTTGGTTTATTTCTAAACTGCATTGTTTGAAATTGAAATGTAACGTCTTACTCATGTTTTCTTGTCTAATTATACGCAAAGTCGTTCATTAAGTCTGACGACATCTTGTCGTATTCTGTTCTGTTTATCTTCAGTCAATTCAGCATGAAGACACAGCTAGCAACACCAGCCAAGAGTCTGTATAGCTACAGAGTGTCTGTTTGTTTAAGCCCATTGTGTGTGTTCTTGGTGTTTGATCCTCATTAGTCGGTAGAGGAAATATCTGCCAAGGCTTTAGTAACTAATTGACTCTTTGTAATGGCTGTGATTAAGTCCAGTTTCATGGGTTCTTTTACTTTTCTTTTTCAGGTATCCGATACAGCATGGATGTGTCCGTGGATGAGGTTAAAGCTTTGGCCTCTTTGATGACATACAAGTGTGCTGTTGTTGGTAAGCTTGGCAGGGTTTGCTTTCCCTCAACATCTTTGGGTGAATTTTCCACTTGGTATATTGCTGAATTGTGCTATTTGTACACTCAAATAGATTGTTATATTTGTTCAGAAAATCTAAAGACTCATAGGTTACACATATAATTTATCTTCTTCTAGATGTGCCATTTGGCGGAGCAAAAGCTGGAGTGAAAATCAACCCCAGGAATTACTCTGTAAGTACCAACACACATGTATAGACTCTGAGCACTAAAAATAACTCTTTATCGTGTCTGTGGGCTGTGTTTGCCTTTTTCATGTGCTTGATTAAGTGGAAACACATTTCATACCATCAGTCCTCCTTTTTCTTTTAAATGGGCCTTGTTCCCTGATTGGATGAAGTCTTGAATAATGGAGTCCACAATATAAAGATGTTTAAACGTACATATCTAGATCTTCTCTTTGTTGCTCTGTTTATTTTCTATCTTAACCTTACTGCTAAAGTGAGTGAAAGTGTTTCCTTTTACCCTGTTACTACTTATTTCCATAGGTGAACTTGCTATGATACTGCTTATTTTTTTCATTTTTTCATTTTGTTCATTCGTTTGATCAATCAGTTGACCGATTTTAACACCTTTCGCTTGAAATGTGTCGTTTCAGTTTTTGCTTTTATGGCTGTTATAAGAGAGGGTAAAAAAATAGCATTACATGATTGATGGAGAGAAGCACTTTTTGATTTACATTTAGATTTTTTGTTTTGTGCTGTTCAGGATAATGAGTTGGAGAAAATCACAAGAAGATTCACTATTGAGCTGGCCAAAAAGGGATTCATTGGTGAGTTTGATTCATTAGGCAGCACAACTGTTTTTAACATTGATAGTAATAAGAAATGTTTCTTGAGCACCAAATCAGCATATTAGAATGATTTCCAAAGGATCATGTGACTGAAGACTGGAGTAAGTGTAATTATTTTAATTGTATTACAATATTGCATATTGTAAAATCTTACTTTTTACTGTAAATTGATGCACATCCAGCGTTGGTGCACACAAACTTCTTTTAAAAACATTTTTTTATTAAATACAGACCCCAAACTTTTGAATGGTAGTTTAAATATTATTATTGTTATAAATATAACAGTACAACACTTAAAATATAGTTCTGTTTATGGTCTTAGCAGATGCATTCTCACTAAACTGAATTATAACACAGTGTATGTGTTTGTGACAATCATACCTTTTGTGATATCACTGCTTTGCAATAAATCTGGAGATATCAGGAAGATTTTAACCCGGAAGAGCTTCAGTACCATGGTGCTGTCAAAAATAAGCCCCGCTGTGTGCTTCCCTGCCCCCTCTGGAGCTGTTTTTGGAAATGTATTCCGGGTGTTAGGTTGTTCGCGTAGCTATTTTTCTGGATGCCTTCCTGTTTTCCCTGGCCAAAGCAACTGGCGCTGTTGTGGGGGGAAGGGCGGTACGCTCTCACAACATCAGACCGGGAACTGAAACTCCAGCTCTCCAATAAAACAACACAAGCTGCCTACTCAGATCATTTGTTGCATTGCATCCTAAAAGATTTTTCCCTGAGATGTGCAAACAATCAAGTTTCATATTTAAGTACATTTAGCATGGTTCATGATAGCTGGCGCAAAAGCTGACAATCTCTTCCTTCCTTATTCTTTCCATTCAGGACCTGGCATTGACGTACCCGCCCCTGACATGAGCACCGGTGAGAGGGAGATGTCCTGGATCGCTGACACCTATGCTAACACTATTGCCCACACTGTAAGCAACTGTCCATATCTTCTAACACCTTATTAAATTATTAATCATGCCATATACACATAAAACTCTGAGGTTTTTACCTTGCTATCACCTGTAGATTAATGCCTAGCCTCTTTAAACAAAAGTGAATGGTTAAAAAGCATATCCCATAATGGGTATTTGAGCAATAAATACAAAAACGATACTCCGCAGACTGGCGCAGAGATCTTCTATATAAGAAGTGAATCTTTCATCTTTTCGTAGCTTTATCAGGAACCTTACACCCTTTGTTTGTCTGTTTTTGATAGTGTTATGCTATCTATATGACAGCCTGTGCAATGTTTATCTTTGTGCCCTAATAAATGGATAAGTCGCAGCTTTATTTGGACGGACAATAGCAACCAGTTTGCTTTCTTGTTATATATGTGCATATTTTGAGTGTTTTTCCTTCTTGTGATATGATTCTGGATGACAGCTTGTTCAGTTGGAGTATGAAGATGCCTGAAGCAGAAAGAGGCTGTAGATTACCATGAAATGGCCACATCGTACAGATTTTCTTTCAGTCTGTTTGTCTCTGTATTTGCTATGGTGCTTGTGGTCAGGGTTATTTCTCCTAGAGGGCTCTTATAGTTACGTCATCCCCTAATGCAGTGCTAGCACTATCACTATGGCAACAAAAGAATGGTCACGTCTTGTTCTTTTTTTAAATACTTTTAAATGGGAGGGTAATGACTATGTTAAACAATATCCAGCTTTACAAATCCTGAAAAGACATGGAAAGGGTGTTTGGATGCAATTTTTTTGCCAAGTCAGGCTGAAGAAGGCAAGAGTCCAGTCACATCCAAGCACAATGGCACCCTAGAAACAACTTGACTTAAGAATACAGCATTTTATGTAACATTACATTTTCTGTAGCCTTAATATTTGATGTGCTACAAGCACAGACAAATATTTGAGACCCTGTCTATATCTTAATAAAATCCGTTTTAATAAAATTGTTATAATAAAATTGACCAATAGTTATTTCCACATTATGGCTCATAAGAAACAAGTGGCATAATTTTTTTTATTAAAAATATATATACAATAAAATAAATAAAATAAAAGACTAAAGATTAAAATCAGTTGTTTTAAATGCTACACGTATACGTCTATTTAGGTATTAATGTATAGTATGAAAAATGAATATTCATTTTGAGATTTTCTAAAGATTACTTTGTACAGTGTTCTTAAATGGCATGTTTAAAGATTCACTTTTAAGTGAGCATTAGATGACAAAAATACATCAATCTCTTTTATTTTAGTATAATTTATATACCATTATAGTATTTATTTCAAATGAGCTTTTATTTTATATTTTCAGTTTTCATTTTAATTTAAGTTTGTCGTTTTTACTAGTTTTTTTTATTTCTATTTAGCTTTAATTTTGATTTATTTCTGTTTGTTGCCAAGGCAACATTTCTAAATTTTGGTTTTATTCATGATTGGCCATGCATGAAAGTCCTGAAAACAAGTCCTGAAAAGTGAACCCAAAGCATTTCAATCGCCCCCTGGCGGCTGGCTGCAGTATAGGTCATAAACCCCGCCCTCTCCATGTAATCCAATGGGACTGAGCCAAACTAATAAATCCAATTACACTTCAAATATATTTTCTTCCCCAAAGATTGATTCTGTCATTTGATTTTAGGTAGTTCTTATCACGCAGATGTATGTGCAGGCGTTTGTTTTTCCATTAAGCTTGGTTTTAGTTAGTTATTTGATGCTATAAAAAGGGGTGTAACATCATGATTGACAGCTGTGCATGCGATTTGAGTCTGCGCAGACTCTGGCTCCAAATGTCGTAATCGGCAACGACCAATACTGGGATATTTTTGGCTTCATTTTTCTACAGTGGAAGGAAGCAGAGATGTGCTGTCCGTCTATTTTTACAGTCTATGGACTGAATACGTTGTATGCATGCGCATGACGTCACCGTTTGCACAAATTCACGTTTTTGTAGTTTACACAGAGATGATAACTGTATTGTCAACTTGCACTTTGAAACACTTTTTAAAAAATTTAAATAATTTAATTTTCAGGACCCCAAAACACTGTTGTCGCTTAAATGAACGGCCAAAACAAAACGTTTTCTGTTTTTAGTTTAAAACAGTGTCCTGAAATGTCCTAACAACACTGGTCTAAAATGTAAAAATGGGGGAAATGAGCATGAACAATGAAATATCCCATATGAACCATTACTACTGACTAATTAAAAATGGTCTCGCTAAAATGATTGCTGCTTTGTCCAAAGCTGATGTGTTTCAAACACAAGGGAAACTCTGTCTGCAAGGGAACAGTAAATGATTGATGGTATCAGTGGACAGGAGTATTGTTGAGTTTATAAAGGGCAATAATTGATCTTCACTAAGGCCACATCCACACGAAGCCAGAGCTTTCTCTACCCGATCTTTTTTTTCCTCATTCCTCATAATACTGCAGTCTCAGCTCAGCAGATTTGTGCACCGTGGCAGTCGAGAGAAACGTTGAATAAGCTTTGACTCAGACATGCGAATCATCTTGATGGAATGTTCAGCAGTAATGAGATGCTTTGATATCTCCTTTGTCTCTATGATGTTTGATGGTGCATATGATAGCAAATATTTTTTTTAATGTGTGTACACTTGTTTGGAGGGTATTTAGGTTGTTGTCCGTCCCCAGCAGTAACCTCTGCCCTGGTCCACTCGCCGTTGTGCGTCATCTGTGAGTAGAACACAGGTCTTCTATATCGTTGCCGTTTCCTCGTTCAATGACAAATAGGGCTACAATAGCTGCCCTTGGGGAAGCTTGCAAGCTGCGTTTGGTGTGCGACCCCTCTCACGGACCCTTACAACAGTATGTGACCCCTTCACATCGATGCAAGAACTCTAGTTGTCGGTGTATCACGTCGTCCTCGTCCTACCCACTGAACAGCCCTGTCTGGTGCTTGTGTTTTTAGATAAGGAACAGACAACCACTGTTGGTTGAAGTGTTGAGTTGAGAACCAAGAACTTTTTTTTTTCTTTTCTTTTTTTTGTTTATTCCCAACTGGTTTCATAAAAAAAAAAAAAAAAATACTGGTAATGAATGTTTTACATTACATTCAGTTCCATTAATGGTTCCGCATTGATGTATACGTTATAAACTGTTATGAATGTGTACTGGTACATGGTACTGAATGTGTGTGTTTTTTTTTTTTTTTTTTAATGTTACCAGAAAATAGTATTGTTTAGTGGACTTGAATGACCAAATATTTTGAAAGAGTTTTATTTTTAATTTTAGCTAGTTTTAGTAATTTTGTTGTGTTTTTGACATTTTCATTTTTTTGTTACTTTAAAACAATTTTTTTTTACTTTTTCAGTTTTAGTTCGATTATTACAGTACATAAAGTGAGAAATGTTGCCTTGGTGACTAACTGAAATAAATTATATATATAAAAATGTGTCTTGAAATGTGTGTAGCTGTGGTAGAAAGCATAATACACTAATAATTTTGCCTAATTCTGTTTCTGTAGGATATCAATGCCCACGCCTGTGTGACGGGTAAACCTATTAGCCAGGGTGGCATCCATGGCAGAATCTCAGCCACTGGTCGTGGAGTCTTCCATGGCATTGAGAACTTCATCAATGAAGCCTCTTACATGAGCAAACTGGGCCTGACCCCTGGATTTGCTGACAAAACCTTCATCATTCAGGTACGTGCATAGAGGACCATTTGAAGAAGTTAAACTGGCAGTTTCAACTTAACTTTAACTAGTTTTCCTACTATATTTTAATAGTTAGTCTATAGTTTTTCTATACAATAATACTTCAATGGTGGAGTGATACAAGTAAAAGCTCTATCAAATACATTTTTATACAGTGAAAGCTTATTGTGACCAGGAACTGTCAGGCTCCGGAAAAGAAAAGGTTGATGTCACATAAAATGTTTGTTACATAAAGCTATCCTATGACTTCAGAAGCCTTTTAAAAATGTGCACAAGTCATATGGACTACTTTTTGTTATTTCTGGAACATGACTGCCACTGGTCCAAATATGTTTTCATTTTATGGAAAAAGCGTTGTTAACATTTATACGAGCCTTCTACATTTGTGTAGCACGTAAGAAAGCTATTCCAGTTTTGGAACAACACAAGGGTGAGAAAATGGTTACAGAATTTTCATTTTGGGCTGAAATAACCGCCTTATATGCTGACTAAATATCAGGTTTGGTGTCACAAAAAGGGAAGAGTCAGTCATATGTCAGCATATAGTACATCTCAGTTCCTTTTGAAGTCATGTGCCGTAAGAATCTCACAGAAAATCACTGCTCTCCTTTACAGCTGTGAAATCTGTCGACTTTACTATGAACCTGCAGGTTTATTCTATAGGATTAAGATTTAGTCTTACAAATAAAGCCGAAAGTGGTTTTGTCGCAGTCTTTGGTTCTGATGAATTGTTTAATCTTAACCACAATGTGATGGAAACTCCTAAAATCAATCCGTGGAGCCCAGACTGCAGGGGGAGGGGATTCTCATCAGCTGTTGCTCTGGGATTAGTCTCACGAAATTACATTTTTTCTTTTTAAAGATTTACTGGCATGTGTAGGAAAGACGAGAAGATGCTGTCACGTGTTATGGATTTAGAGCAGTGCAGAGAAGAGATAGCCTAGTCATTAGTATGAAACAAAGCCTCGGGAGTGGAGTTGATTACATAATGCTGTTGCACTGAGTTGAAATGACTGCTTCCTGTTTGTCCTTTTGTAGTGTGAGCAGCCATATGCATTTCCCCTTTCAACATGCACATGACAACTTGCCAGAAATACCCTTTAATGTGGTGAAAATCTTGCTAAGACAAACATTTGGAACAAGTGGTTCTGCAAAATATTCAAAAGCTCACAGATATTCAAGTATTTCTGCTGTAATTATGACAAAGCTGCATGTTTATTCGTTTTTACTATAATATAATATTAAATAATAAATCTTAGTTTTACACGTTTTTCAGCATTTTAATTTAGATTTGAGTTTATTTTAAAATATTAATAATAATTTATTAATTTAAATACTTTTTTTTTAGTCATCTTTTAGGCCTTCTGGTTGAGAACCACCAATAGAGTGGTGCAGGGATGACGGCAAAACCCAGAAGACTAATTCGCCACCGGTTCCCTTGAGATGTTCCTACGGTGTTTTATAAATTTGAGTAAAATAAGGTCTTCTGTAAACATAAATGTTTTGTTCTACACTGTAAATTACACACACCTTATCTAGTTACTTATTAGAAACATACGTGTGTTTTTTAAGATTATTAAAAACAGCTTCACAGTTTGTGTTTTCAGTATGGGTGTGTTTAGTTTACGTCGTATAGCAAAACGTTCAAGTATTAAGTTCACCACAGACCTTATTTTACTCATCAATTGAAAAACCCCATTATAAAACCCCATAGGAAAATCATGAGTGAACCAGTGGCGAATTAGTCTTCCGGGTTTTGACGTCATCCCTGCACCACTCTATTTACAGCCAATGCTAGAGCTAGTCTGTGCTAAATCAAACCACATGGGGGCGCCACTTCCACACACAGAAAAACTTAGGATTGTGTTTTCATCACAAGTTCACCTAGTTTCTTATCCTGTCATGCAGGGTTTCGGTAATGTGGGTCTGCATTCCATGCGTTACCTTCACCGTTATGGTGCCAAATGTGTGGGAATTGCTGAGATCGACGGCAGCATCTGGAACCCCAACGGCATGGACCCCAAAGAGCTGGAGGAATACAAACTGGTCAGTTAAGGGTCCTTTTACAATCGCTTTTCTGAAACTCTAGTGAGAATTTGCCCTTCCTTCTGTACTTGAACTGGTTTTTGAATGTGTATGTGCTTTTTCTTTAGCAACATGGTACCATTGTGGGCTTCCCCAACTCTCAGCCGTATGAGGGAAACATTCTGGAAGCTCAGTGTGATATCCTCATCCCAGCAGCTGGAGAGAAACAGCTGACCAGGAAGAACGCTCACAATATCAAAGCTAAGGTCTGACATCAACAGCATCATCCAGTTGAACTTATGTTTAAATGCCCTTCACCCATGCTGAACATATAATTGTCATATTTTCATGAATTCAGATTATTGCTGAGGGTGCTAATGGTCCTACTACACCAGATGCTGACAAGATTTTCGTAGAGAGGAACATCATGGTCATTCCAGTAAGAGAACATTGGTATATCCTCTAAAATTTTGACGTGCTTCAGGAAAATGGAAATAGGAATAAATTATTTCTTGATGTGCAGGACATGTACCTGAACGCTGGAGGTGTCACGGTCTCCTACTTTGAGTGGCTGAAAAACCTGAACCATGTCAGCTATGGTCGCCTGACCTTCAAGTACGAGAGGGACTCCAACTACCACCTGCTGAGTATGTGTTTAAACTTCCTCCAACAGCACTACAGCGTCCTATCGGCTTCCGTCACTCAAAGAGTAGCAGCGTGAATCAATAGAGGTGGCGCTGAACTTGCATCATGAATGCATCCGAGACAGTATTCAAAGCTATTTCTGCCAACATGTATCTTGATCTCTTCAGAATGTTCACCGCAACACTATTGGTCATGTTCTTGTTTTTCCCTCGTGATTCCCTTTCATTGTATCACTCCCTCCCTTTAGGCACTTTTTCTTGGCATGCAGACAGACCTGCTATTGTGTTCTATATGTACTGGTCTATGTGTCCAGTGGTGGACGAAGTACACAAATTGAGTAAAAGTAGAGATGCACTCATAAAATTAATAAAAGTATTAAGTACTTATTTTCAGCAAAAGTACAGACGCTCTTGATTTTTTTTTAATGTACTTAAGTATTAAAAGTAAAAAGTACTGATTGATATTTAATCATTTAATATTATATATTTTATATAATCCTACTGCTTAAAATACCCGGGTCTGACATCATGAATTATATTGAATTATCAAGTAGCCAGCACTAGTCAGTAAGAAAGATTTGTGGATGTTGATAAATGACATGTATTGATCTGCAAATAAGATTAAGTAACATTTTATTGTATTACCAAATATCCATTTAGGTTACTGATACTTCATGTGTGCGAACAAGAGGGGATTTTTTTTTTATATATATACATATATAACATATAGTATTTAAATATAGTTGACAAACAATATAAAAACAGGCATCACATAGGGCAATTTTTTATATAATTTGAAACCGCTACAGCCGTGGGGGAGATGCATGGGGATTAACTTGTGTTCTTTTGTTTCGTTTCGTTTTTTTTTTACATAACCCCGTTGAGACTGTGATACGACGTCCACATTCAAGCATTACAGTGAGCTTATACAGCTCGTCCTTTTACAGCAGATTTAGTTCACAAACAACTGACAGTCCTGACATGCATATGATTTTCATTCACAATAATCAATCCTAAAGTTCAGCATTACCTTATCATTAACTTACTTTTCGCACCATCAGTCACGCATACACTCAAGTTCCGAGGATCTCTAGTTCTTGGCTCTGAGTCAGATTTGTGAATTGTTTGCTTTTGAAGAAATGTGTCAGTGTGACTGAAGTTGGCTAACATTATGGTGTGATGGTACTGATTTCATAAATAAATTATAATTAAATAAAGATATAAGTAAATTATCATAAATAAATGTGGCTTGATTTGTGGTCCTTTTTAGGAAAAATCAGTGTAGCACAAAAGTCAACTTTAAAATAATCCATTTTTAAATGTAAATTTTTTCAAATGTATGCTTAGTAATTGATATTTGATCAAAAGCACAATTTAAGGGTGCAAATTGTCACTATCACTCTGCTGAAGGGAATTGATCAACCTTTGATTTTTTTTTTTGTTCTTTCTTCCAGTGTCTGTGCAAGAGAGTCTTGAAAGGAAGTTTGGAAAGCAGGGCGGCCCCATCCCAATTGTCCCTACTGCTGATTTCCAGGCCCGCGTAGCTGTGAGTGTCCATAAAGATTTACATTCTTTGCCTTGTGTGCATGTTTTTTTTATACATCATCTCTTATTTATTTTATTTTATTCTTCTATTCAATTTAGTTATTGATTATTTATTTATTTATTTATCTTTTATTAATTAGCATAACCATTTCGAATCCATTTAGTGAATTGTAGTGGTAGCAGCAAAAACAAAACAAAAGATTAAAAAGTGTGTATGTATATGTATACACACACACACACACACACAATCACTACGGTAGCTGATTTAAATTATACCAGATATTGACTTCACTGTCTGAAAAAACAAACAAAAACAAATTGAATTGATTTATGTACAATATTGACTTGTGAACAAAGCCTTAGAGTTCTGTTTAGGACCCGCGATTCTTAACCCTCATGTCAAGTTTGTGCAGTGATGTGATGTGTTTGTGTTTGACACAGGGAGCCTCTGAGAAGGACATTGTGCACTCTGGTCTTGCCTACACCATGGAGAGGTCGGCCAGGGTAAGTTATTTTTATGTCGTGAAGATCATTATACATGCTGAAGCTGACGCCCATTGAGCGACTCGGTTATACTGCCTGTAAAACAACAACAGGTAGAGCAGGAACCACCCTTTACTCCCCCTCAGCTGATTTATAACAGCGTTGTGTTGCCATGAAACGGTCAAAAGATCATTGTAATGTTCAGCCCTCGCTTCAGGCCCATTTTAGTATTGTGCGATATGATCCCCATGCAAAGAAAGTCACCTCGCCCATTGCACAGATGTTGTTAATGTTTATTGATGCTCTTTCTGCTTTGTAAATGTGCATTCATGTAGTCAAACCTGTATTCATGAAGTAATATTTTCCTTTGCAGCAAATTATGCGCACGGCAAATAAGTACAACCTGGGCTTGGATTTGAGGACGGCAGCTTACGTCAATGCCATCGAGAAGGTCTTCAAGGTGTACAATGAGGCTGGCCTGACCTTTACATAAATGACACACAATTCCCTTTGCAAAAAGAAGACAAACATCCATAAACCTCTCGATTTCCCCCTCCACAACCCTTTTAACATATGAGAATTTACTTCAGCCTAACCCCCATCTCCTCTATTATAACACCATCACACTGTCATATCTCAAAATCTCCGTCTTCATGAGTTTGAGAGCTATAAAGTGGTTTATTCTGTTCTGAGGCTGCAAGTTTCACTGCTTTGCTGTATATGATGTGGTCTCAAAACAAACTGGCACCAATAATCAGGTTTCTCAAGTGTTTCTTGTTGTAACTTGTTTATTTTGTCCCTGTTTTTTTGTATTGATCTGTGGTAAACTAACGTGATCCTCTTCAAATGCAGCTGATTTTAAATGTCTGTTGATTTGTCATATTGGCCCTGGCTTCCTCTCTAAAATATCAATTCAACATGGTGTGTTTTTGTTCTCTGTCATGTTGTACGTGGTTATTGCTCCAGTAGAAGAAGAGTGTTAAAGATGCCTTACACCTGTGAGCGAGAGTTTTATACTCAGAGAAATTATTTTCTTTGTCACTATAATTCATGCAATGAATTTACATGTAATATCACACAAAGGGATACCCAGCCGTTTTGGCCTAGAGATGTAATGGAGTTCTACGCTAGCTAACAATGTTTTTTGTATCCGAGGCAGTTCATTCCCCATAACTTTTAGAGATCAGATAGTTGTTAGCATGCGGCTAATGTTAAACCTAGAGGGCCTGGGGCACTTGCGCTTAAAGGAGAGCAGGAAGTTGCTCACCAAGCTTATCTGCACCCATATCTGGAACTATGTTTTGGAAATTTATATTGCTTTTTTTTTGTTGAGAATAAAACAAACTATCATATATTTTCTGTTGTAATTTGTATCCATTTCTCAGTGTCACCATAATACTGACATTCCTTCATTTCTACATGAATGAATTCTTACCATGTAGTTAATAAGTCACATTCCCATTATAAATCATAATTATGAGATATTAATTAAAATATTTCATAACAATTTCAATAGATATTGTTAAGTTTCTATTAAAGGAAATGGACAAACCTTTGTGGATATACGTTCAGCAGTGTTATGGCAATATTTCACTTGAGAAAAACAGGTGCATTTTAACCCTTAAACGCATACCTCGGGTCTTTGGTGACCCGGGACGTCATTTACATACCCTCCTCCTCATTCATTAAACAAATAATATATATATATATTATATTATATAATAAAGTTATAAGAGTTTATATTGTATTGCCGAGGTGTGTAACAGTGTAAGTATATTTTTTCTTCACAACAATAATTCAATCTTTTATGACTGAATAAGTGCAATTCACCTTTATTCCACAAGGTGGCAATGTGATATGATGAAGTGACGTTTCACTCAGTCACTGAAGGCCGGAAACAAAAGAATAGGAAGTATCAGATTCATCAGCAAAACTTTGAAATGGTTCAGCGATTTACTGCAGAGCAAATACTGAACGCAGTCAAATATTAGTGTCACTGTCACTTGATGGTGCATTAGTAAAGAAGCTGTCAGCGCTCAAAATATTTATTTTGAAGATGTTGAAAATGATAGCTAAGTTTTCAGAATGTTTTGGGAAATGAGCTCTGACTATGACAGTGATGATGGTATAAAACATCTGCTCAAACTGAACCCTTCCAAACTCCAAAAGGTAACAAAATTAGCTTTATTTTATTCTTCTGTAATTGTTACTCTCATATCAGGAGAGTTTTATATTATTGCGAAAGGTAGAGATCCATCCGTGTTAGATATCCATTTCGCTAATTTAGTGAAATGGATATCTAACACGGATGGATCTCTACGGACCATTTGAGATTACAAGTCACAGTTCAGCTCACTTGACACGGCGTTCATGGTTTGACTAGTCGAGACTGTTTTCCTAAGACGGCTCCTGCCTGTATACGCGAAGTGGACTGTCTTTATAAAATATATTTTTTTATTAAACTGTCTGTACACTTACAAAGTTCTCAATGCTTCGGTTTTCATCTAGGGACCCTCATTATGTTACCGTGTTAGTGTGGGGCTATTTTGAGCCTTGTTAGTGGTATTAACTAGCGATTTTTATTTCGCTAGAAATAGAGTAATTTTCATTACTCTATGCCCATATACTAGCGTTATACGCTAAACAGTTTTTAGAGATAAAACTCGACTAGGTAGGCTACCAATGTGTTATTAGACCAAAGGTTCATTTTGCACCGGAGTTGTCCTTTAATAACACTTCCTTGATGCCCTCCAGGAAGTGACATCATTTTGGAGGGAAAACAACAGAACAAACATCAGTGAGTGTCAGCAATGGATTTTATTGATTCCGTGATGTTTCTCTCATTTTAAAACATGACATCCAGTTTGACAAAATTACAGAAATCACGTTAAACATTTCAAAAGATGGTTAAAATATATAAACAAACTTAAACCTGTTCAAACTCAATCACTAACTGAGCAATTGCTCTTTAATTATTTCTTTTCATCAAGCGTCCTGTTAATTTTATTGCCATTGTCTAAATATTCCATGATTCCATATTTTATTTCTAAAAGTTATTTTTTTTATACATTTTTTCAAGTTACAGAGCTCAAAAAGGTACTGCAAAACAGACGTTATCTGCTTCAGGCATCGTTTCTAGATGACAATTTGTACAACTCCTGGAGACACATATTATTCAATGCTGAAAGTTAGAGTATAATTGCAGATGGATAGGGGGTCCAGTTGGCATTCAGCGATGAGTGAGATAGTAAAAGTTCATGTTTAAAGTATTCAGGTTCACTTGATCAGGCCCTTCCCAAAGGCCAACGCCTGCTCGGATGCCTTATTGCCTGCAGCGTCTGTTGCAGCTTTGCCGACCGCGCCACTCAACATATCGCCGATGCCTACGCAGACAGAATGTATTGATCAGAGAGATTTAAACTGGATGAATATGATAGTGGAAGAGTTTAAGATTATCTTCCCAATAGCCTCCTTTCAAAAGAAAAGCAAAATATTATCACCTTCCCCTTTCTGGTCTTTTGCACCTCCTGCCTTTTTCTTGTCTCCTCCGATCAATCCTCCAACTTTCTCCTTGGCCACCCCAGCTAATAAAACATTTTACACGAGTTAATAATCTTGTCTGTACATGCTAGGTATAAGTTTATCTGTAAATTACAGAAATTACTAGCATGCGCCACTTCCTGGAAGTTGGAACTAACTTACATTGGTTTTCAGACATCAATTTCAAGTTAATGTAACCTTCCAATGAACAAAAAGATTATACAATATGTTTCTGACTTACCAGCCTTGTCGATTATCTTGTCCACATTCTTGTCCATGTTTCTTGTTTGTCAGTCAGGAACTGTGCGTGTGCATCAGAGACATGCGTACTTATAGGCTGTTGTGTTTAACCCATGCACACACCCCAAAGCATTGGATGAGGAACACCCACTCAAACTCATAGCATTCTTTATCTCTGTCACTCCATTTCAACATTAAAGGAGCATTCAGAGCTGGGGAGAGTGTTTTCATCAACCCATTTAATTGCTTGAACAAGCCATTCAACTTCAACAGTAACCCCCTCAGGGCCAATAGTGTTTGTACTGTATTCAGGGCATGGCATCGGACACATTACTATTGAAGTACTGGAAATACAAGCTTTCACTGTTGTTAGAGAATACAGGGTTGCGTGACTCATGAAGGATGCAGTTGAAGAATTTATTATGAGACAAGATGCCAAGCTGTTGGTGGTTTTACGATGATTGGTTTGGTTTTTTAGATTTACAGCATCTGGAATCATTTGTGATCCTAATGTCTTTTTCTGTATTATGCATTTTGATACTAAAGAATGTTTTTATGTTTGCTGGATTTGTTGAAATTCAGGTGCAAAGGAAAAAAAAAACCTCTATGGGGTCCAATAGTCTGAGACCACACTGAAAATCTTGGATTCAAAAGTTAAATTTAAAGGAGAGCAATATTACAATATTAAAATCTAGGAAAATACGGGTGAATTTAAACAATTTAACTACTTTGGTTGGAGGACTATTGGTATTTTTTTCATATGCTTTGCACTAACTTCTAACATGAAAAGCCACACTGGTGACCACAATAAAAATGTAGGATTTCAAATTTAAATTAAGGAGAGATTTGGGATTTTGAAAAAAACAAAAAAACATTTTTTAAAGCAGTATAACATTTACTAAATGAATTAGAAATATTCAAGATCATTACTCGTTTCTCAAATAAGCAAATTAGTGATATTGGCCACGTGAACTTTGTGCCAAAGTTCAGATTTCTGCAGGTATACTTCAGACTCTGAAGTACCTGCAGAAATCTGAACTTTGGCACAAAGAAGTCAATGGGTGAAGTTCAGAGGAATTCATAGTATTACCATGTTAGTTGTCGGAAAAAAAAACGACACTTTTTGTTCATAGCGACATGCAATGAAATAAAAAATAATTAAAGGTAGCCTATAGTTCATCCAAAAATTAAAATTTTATCATTACTCACCTCAAGTTGTTCCAAACCTTTTTTCTTTCTGTGAACACAAAAGAAGATATTTTTGGCACCCATTGACTACTGTCAACCGTTTGATTGCCAGCATTATTTAAAATATCATCTTTTGTGTTCAACAGAAGAAAGAAACACAGGTTTTTTTTTGTTCAACAGAAGAAAGAAACACACAGGTTTGAAACAACTTAAGATTAATATAGGCCAACCTGCCTCTCATTTATTTATTTTGTATTATTATGTTATAGTTTCTTCAAAGCAGAATTTTTTTCCATACATGTTTACAGCAGCAGTGTTATTGCTCTATTCGACAAATGTTTTCACTAAACAGACTCACTAACCAGTAGTTTGCTCTGCGTACTGGGTGTGTACTGATGGATCCCTAAAGCGTGATGTCGTGAAGGAGTGGTGGATAATTACTGTGGTCTGTATGAATGTATTTTGGCTTGACTTTTGTTTGTTAAATAGCAGTTCAGATCTTAATCCTGCAGCGCTAGCTAATAAAAATCTTTCTGTGCAGTTCATTACCCTTCATCCCCAAATTCCACTGGCATGAATCATGATGAGGGAAACAATAGGATAGACAATAATTCATCATGTTCGCCCCCAAATACTAGCCTGGTCCCACCAGACTCTCGTGCATTTCATTTGTACAGAGAGTCTGGCCCATAGATAGTAAAAGAAATGGACACAGCGACCCCATAGACTTCAACGGAGAAAAGTGAAGTCAATTATGCCGAGTTCAGACTGCACGATTTTAGCCCCGATTTTGGCTCGCCGACAGGTTTTGAGAAATCGCCGACAAATGCCCGAAATCACAGGCAAATCGGTGCTCGTTCACGCGAGTGACAATCACACAGTGTGAATGAGCAAAGACGCGATCTGAGAGAATCGCCGACGAGTCGCCGAGGCCCGTGAGATATTTGGCATGCTAAATATCTGGACCTGTCGGCGATTCACAATCCTGCTGTGTGAATGTGTTCTGACTGAAAACTACATCGGCGATGACCGACAGCCAACGAGAAAGCAAGATACAGGACAGCAGGCTGTTCGGGGAGGAGTTATAGCTAGACCAGAATATCAGTATTTTAATAGATAGGCCTATATTTACAATTATATCAAACAGTCACAGAAACAAACATTTGCATGACCAGCAGCAACAGCAGGACATTTGCAAAATTATTTATTTACCCCCAACTCTCTTTGCAAAACACAGTCCTTGCTCCCCTCGTCTTCCCAACCATTTCCTGCATAAACTGATTATTTATTTATTTTTTCATTTTCGCTACAAATCCGTGCACAGACAATTTGTAGGCTATCATTTTTAATAACAAATTCAGTGTCGCGCGAGAACTCCGGTCTCAC